TTCCTGCTGCAAGCTTCTTTGTCTTTTTCTGGAGATGTTCCTCGAAATCAAGTGCACTGGAGATGCTGCAGAACACCAAATGCAGAACATTGTTGTACTATAGTCTTCTAAAGTGCTGTCACCACTGCATTAACAGTGCAATCCTGTGCACACTTATCCAGGAATAAGACCCACAGAATATAGTTGGGCTTATTTCTGACTATACCTGAATAGGCATGTGCTATACATGCGTAAACATTCACAGACACCAGCCTCAGAGAACCTTAAAACAATTTGTTGTTGTTGTTCAGTCGCACAGTCGAGTCCGACTCTTCGCGACCCCATGGACCAGCTCCCGCCAGGCCCTCCTGTCTTCCTCCGTCCTCTGAAGTTGGCTCAATTTCATGTTCGTTGCATCTATGACACTGTCTAACCATCTCATCCTTTGTCGTCCCCATCTTCGTTGACCTTCAATCTTTCTTAGCATCAAGGTCTTCTCCAGTGAAATAGCATACACTCATTATTTCTTTTCAGATTTATGAAGAGATCCATGGGATTTACCTTTGCAGGATGTAAGAGCAGTACACTGTGACCAGTATCCATTTTGGGGGGAGGGGTTTAGCTATTGTATATGAATTTTCCACTTTTTCTTCATCCTATTAAGACTAACTGTAGTCTCTACAATAACTTCACCATATAACTTAGGATTTCTATTTGAAGGACATCCCACAGTAGATACTGTTTTGACTTGCTTTACAACTGGAATAGGAAGACAGCAGAGTTCCTCTCATCGCCAATAGTGTCAAAATTATTTGTATGTCTCATTACAAGGGTTTAGGATCCAACCATCTACCACCCTTTTGAGCTTGCTGTCTACTGTGTAAAAGCTTGCACATGCTTTGCTAAAATACTCAGAAAGTAAGGAAAGAATCAGATTATTTTCTAAGTATTCAAAGGATACATCATACTTATTGTATTTTGCAACTAAGTAAACATACCCAAGCACAAACTGTAAGGTGAAAATAATCCCCACTAAACAGAGTTACACTGTTCTGAGACCCTTGAGATCAATGGACTTATAAAGATGTAACTCTACAAAAAATGGCATTGTGAGTCTCAAATAAATCAGCATACATTACATGTATGGCCTGAATGACTTGTCTCTGGATATAATTGCAAAGGTGGCTATATTTTTGCAATGCACTATAAAGTTGTGCTGTGATAAGATATAAAGAGTCAATTTGATAGTACATCTACCCAATTGTAATTTAAAAGCAATCTTTATTCTTATTCTATGTTCCATCTTATCTATTTTATATGCCAATAAAGGACTGATTGATTGACTGATTGGTAACTTGTACAGTATTTTGTGATAAGGATTTGAGACAAAGGAAGTAAATGATTGGGTTGTCTTTCAGCCTTTGAAATGAGACAGGTAAATCAGTGGCAAGAGTAAATAAATGAAGAACTAGGAGTTCAATACTATCTATTAAAAAGAAAGATGGGTCATTAGAAACATGATCAGAAAAAATTATGGATAAATTTGTTCAGTTCTATCAGAAGTTACACACTTCTGATGACCCAAATAAGGAGGATATTGATTCCTTCTTGGTTAAGTTAAATATACTTAAAGAAGATAAGGATTAACTGGATGCAACTATAACTTTACAGAAGTCCTTATTGCAATTAAGAAACTCAAAAACAGTGCCCCAGGGTTATATGGATTAACTCTAGAGTTAAATTGATCTCTGATAAATAAAACTGTCCAATCACTATATAATATTGACCTCAATTTTGGCTACCAGACTAAATCACATTGCAGCAAGATACATACAACCTGATCAATCAGGGTTCATTTCCATCCTGCCAAGATTCCTTTTTTTCGCACAAAACCTATCAATACTCAAAAATTATGTTCATTTCTGGTTGAAATATACCTAGTAACCGTTAAAAAGTGTTTGATTTAATTGACCATGTTAAAAAAACATAAGAAGAAAATTACTCTTATATTCTTAGAAGCTGAGAAGGCATTTGATAAGCTTGAGACCAAATTCTTGATAGGCTGTATAAAAGCCTTTGATTTGGGTATTTACTCAATGGGCAAAAATTATATATGCACATTCTGAAGCAAGATCAAATATATTGGGTATGCTTTCCCCAAAATTTCCATTTGTAGAGTTGTGAGACAGGGCTGCCTATTATCATTCTTCTCCCTGGGATTTACTTAACAGAGTGAGGTGATACAATCAACAAGATGGGACATTCAATATACCATGAAATAGGACTTGGGCTGCAACAAGAAGTCTGAAAAACAGAACTGAAGCTAAGCATAAGTGTTAACACAAGACATTAAATGATGCAAAATTATACAACGGGATCCAGCCCACTACTGTATTCAGTAGTACAAACTACAGTCCCCAACAATTTATCCAAATAACTATGTGAAGCCTTTTTTTCAGTGCAACTTTATTGCTGCCATAGAAAAGTACTCTCGAATAACTCAGTTTTGCAAAGTTTGCAGAAAGCTAGGAGAATGGAAGTCTTACTAACTTCCTCAGGCAGGCCATTTTACAAGGTGGGGGCTACAACAGAGAAGGCACATGTACAGGAAGTTGTTGATTTTGCCCATTTGCAGGTTGGCACTTGTTGAAGGCCTTGCTCAGATGAGCAAAGCTGTGGTGGCAGAAGATAGGGAGAGAGGCAGTCTCACAGAAATGAGGGTCCAAGGCCATGAAAGACATTGTATGTGATAGCCACTACCCAAAATTGAGCCCAGTAACTGATGGGCAGTCCGTGGAGTGACTGCAGAATGGGAATAATATACATGCTCTGTCTACCTCAGACACAGCATTCTGCATCAACTAGAACTTTCCTCATAGGGCTCAGTCTCCAGACCTCTGATCATTCTCGTTGCTCTCTTCTGCACCCTGAAGTTGAGAAGCAGTTCAGTTTTATACTGAAACATGTCTACACAATATCCTTACTCTGTTAAATACTTTATTTTATGTTAAATAAAACTTTGTTATCCTGCCAGTATGTTTTTACCTTACTCTATGTGTCTTGTCTGTCCAGTCAATGAGAAAAGCAGTGTTTAATTATCTCATAAATAATTACAGTCTTGGTCTAGCAGGTACCCAAATAAGATACCGCTAGGGAGCACATAGCTTATATGCTACCAGCCTTCTAATCAAAGTGCAAGTTCCACTTTTATTTGATTATTAGAGTCCAGAGTGGGGGATTTGACATTCTTTAGTCCAGAAGGCAGTTGCCTCAGAGTCTCCCCTCCCCCATAGCTGCCACACTTGCTTAGCTTGGAATAAGCCCCAATGAGCTTACTTTTGCGCAGACATGCCTCAGATTGTGCTGTCAGAAGCTTCATTTGGTACAGAATACAGCAGCATGTTTGTTTGGATATAACTACCATATTCATTTTATGTCAATACTGAAATAGCTGAATTAAATTCCAATGTGTTTCTGTGCCCAATTTAAGGCACCAGTATTTATTTTATTGTGTTTCATATCATGGAATGAGAGTTGCCAACATTCAGGTGGTAGCTGGAGAACTCCTGAGATTACAACTGATCTCCAGGCAACTTTGGAAGGTAGACTCTATGGCATTATACTCCACTGAAGTCCCTTCCCATCTAAGGTTGCCATCCCCCAGGTTCCAGTGGGGGTCCCCCCCAGAAGCCCCACCCCTAAGCCTGACTGCCAATAGCCACCCCTCTCCCACCTCTCCTGCAAGATTTAAAGGGCCCTTTAGGTGATTGGTGGGGAGCACGTGGCCTGGCAGTCAGATGGAGGGCCCTTTAAATCTTGCAGGAGGGAGGGAGAAGGGCATGCACCACCCCCCGCTTCTTCCCCAAAGCATTTAAAGGGATCCTTTAAATCCAAGCTGTGAATTTGCAGCTTGGAGCGCGGCATCAGTCCCCAACATGATAACATCACTTCTACGTGGTGTCATCACATTGGAACTGTCCCCACCCCTCTGGAACACCCCTCAAAGTCCCCCACTGGGGACTCAGAAGGACCTGGCAACCTGCTCCCATCACCAAACCCCGCTCTCCTCAGGCTCCACCCCCAAAATATCCAGGTAGTTCTCAACTCAGAGCTGGCAACTCTACAAGGGATTCATATATCTAAGAACCCTAAATAAGATCATGTGCCAACTCTGGTCAGGAGATAAAAAGTAAAGCCAAGGCTGATGGTGCAAAATCAGGTAAAAATATATTTTATTACTCAGATTTCCAAAAAATCCCTTATGCTTTTCATCAACAGGCTCTGTTCGTCTTGCAGTACTTCTCCAAAAAGAGTAAAAGATCACTGATTTGAAAAATACTGCAAGAGTAAAAGATCACTGATCTGAAAAATGAAAATAGTAACATTTTCAGATTATGCTATAGTATGCCTGAGTTTTTCACATAATTATCCCCCTTCCCCCACATGCAAGAATCTCCATTATTATGATTTTTTTTTAAAAAAAAACCCTCACTACTGATCACTTTCAAAGACTGCATCACAGTAAACCAAGACAAAAGTCTATAGAAAAGAAACCTGTTAACGTTCAAGAAAATGAAGTGATATATTTACCATTTAATGACTTCTTTCATATCACTCTCATGCATTCCTTTGATGGCACCATATATTTCAAAATGCTCCTGCAATGTAATATCTGGCCAAAGTGGGTTTGTCTGTGGACAGTATCCCACAAATCTCATGGAATTATCCTCACTGTTGTCACCGAAAGAATAATCCCCCATCAGCATCTGTGGACACATCAGTCTTTATTCAGCATTTTTATATATTATTTACAAGAAACAAAATTCTTCACAGTGAATATAAGAACAACTAAATTAAAATAATCACAACAAATATTATCTTTGGAAGGGGTTCTCATCTTGTTTTTCCTATATGAGCCTGCTTCCTTTCATTAGAACCTTTGATGTACATTCCTTTCCATAATAATGATAAATTTTTGTAAACACGGGCTTTTGTTCAGTTCATATTTATAAATCTGCCTGAAACTTTTATGAATAAGAAACTCCCCGAACCTCTTGGGGACAGCCGTTTCTCACAGTAGGTTTGTCATTATTTGTGCATCTTATTTTGTTATGTACCTGAAGCCTCAGTGAATGTGCAGCTTCAGTATGAATTTTCTATGTGGGCAGACCAGAAAGGATGAGAAGAATTCCTGTAATGGTTAACACATAAAACTACAGAGGAGCAGAGATTGTAGTCAAATACCTGGCCTGAAGTTGGTTCAATTTCTCCCACCAGCATATTAATCAGCGTACTTTTCCCAGCTCCACTGGGGCCCAACAACCCTAGTATTTCCCCTACAAAAAGGGGGGAAATGCAAAAAGTAGCAGTTTTAACTGAGGAACAATTCTTTTTACTATTTTTAAAGCATATTCAGTAGTAACTAATTTAACTCCAACCTTTTTTTACACAAAGAGAGACATGATTAGTTGCCACTTTCTTTATTTTTCTTCCAAGAAGAAAATCTTTCTTTTCATCAAATTCTTTATGCAAACTGCTGACCAAAATGGCTGGTTTCTAATAAAACAAAAGAGTATGTATAGCTTAATAATGAATTTGCTTGACTACATAGTGCACAAATGTACCTACAAATGGGCAAAATCCCTCTCTATTGGTGAATGTCAGGGTATGCAGACAACACAGTTTCTTTCCCCCACGCTATCCCTCCCATGTAGGGGATTGGCAAAAGGAAACCTCCATTAGAGTCACACTTTACACAGAGTTTGCATCCATTTCTATGGTTATGAGGCCTATGCCCACTGTGACTAGGGCTGCAGGGCTTCTTTGTGTATATGCCATGGTATTTTTTTACATGATCTCTTACACGGAAAAGATTGCGTAGAAAAAAAATTGTTTGTTCAAAATTTGTGAATCAGATGGAAAACAACATACTACAATTAAACTGATAACCTTGTCATTTTAGTACAGTTTATTTTCTTTGACTCCCAGAGAAAGATTCATCATCACAATAGAATTTGGTGACAACAAGTTCACAGGAACAAACAGACAAAATGTACCTCCTCACAACTCTGGCAGGTTGTCATCTCCTTAACCCTCAACCTCTCTGCCTTAACATCTTCATCCTCATCCTCATCATGTGGCACATCTGGGAATTTCCATGGTTTTGGTTTTAGGAGCGGTCTGAAGACAGGAATATATATTTCATCTCTTCTCAATGGCCCACTAAACAGATACATCCAATACCACTTTGCCATTTGTGGGTCAGATGCAATCATTTGGAAAGCTGTACCCATGAAATACTACTGATGTTTCCATATCCCATGAAGCATTCATGAAGAACTGGTTCAGCACATGAGCTGCAGATGCAGTCAGACTAAGCCCTGTATGAAGCTTTCACATATATTTCTCAAAATCAGAGGTCATTTCGGGGGGGATCGCAGTTCCCCCGGGTGAGGTACGGGGGGGCACATGACAAAGCCCCGCCCCCTGCTTCCGGCCGGCCCGCTTCTGGCCCTCATTCAGCCAGGAGGAGGCAGGAGAAGAGGGAGGGTAAGTTGCTTCCTCCCTGCTTCTCCCCACCCCTGCCTGCCTGGGGCCAGGGAGGGCCTTTGCGGGGCTTCCTTGCACTCCCGCCAGCCTTGCAGGTCCACCACCGGGCCCCTCATGGGGCTCGGCAGTGGAGCTGCAAGGCCGGCGGCGGCTGGGACCATTGGGGGCAGGGGGTGTGGCCTTATGACACACTTCCGGTGATGTCAGGGGGTGTGGCATATGCTAATGAGTTATGATAATGAGTTCCCCTAGCTCTTTTTCTACGAAACGACCCCTGCTTAAAATTAAACACAGTAATTCTCAAAATCCTGTAAATCCCAGGTTTTCAAACAGTTTCTTGTAATGTTCTGCTAGGCCATGAAATATTAAAGGGAGCCTATAACTGGTTCATTTTGGTAAGTGATCCCACATGAGCCGCTCATAAGGTTCCCCCGCAAATAAAATGAAGCAAAAAATCAGTGAGACAATCAACCAACATAAAACAAATGTAAAAACAAAGTAATACCATATATTAAAACAGAAGCAATAAAGTATCAACTTAAAGAACAGAAGTAAAGGAAGGCAACACTTAGCAGCAAAATAACTTAGTTAAAAAACAGATTAAGCAGAACTAATGGGCAGCAAAAGTTACACATCTGGCTGTGGGGAAGGTATTCCATAACTGAGGTGCTATCACAAAAAAAAAAAATGACCCTTATAACCACCTTCTCTGACACCAGACAAAGGTGGTCCATGGAGCTGGTACTCCAAAAATGATCTTGGATTGAAAGTTGCTTCACTGTCTTCCTTAAAAATATTGCCTTGCTAACTGACCACATGGGTTGCTTGTGCAATCATTCCTCATACCCACTCACTTGCCAGAGCAAAACAATAAAATGACAACATTTCTCCAATGATATAAAGACTATGGCTGTAAACACATCAGAATAGCCTTCAGTAGAACATACTTCATTCCAATTTACCGCTGGATATAGGGTTGCCAGGTCCTTACTTTGTTCTGGCAGGGGGACTCTTTTCTTCTTCCTGGAGTCTTTGGCATGCACGCAAAGCATGTGAGGCATGATGACATCACCCAGAGGTGACATTATTGCACCAAGCACATTGGCGTGGATAGGGCTACTCATGGACAGGGCACCGGCCAGCTGAGCAGTGGAAGATTGGAGCCCCTGAAAGCGGGTAAACCCCTACCCCCATCAGGGAGATGGCAACCCTAGCTGGACAACCTGATTTGGTTAAATAATTCTAGTACAGATTGTTGACAGAGAAAATGCACCACTGACCGGAAAAACGGATCCTCTCTTATCGATTTGCCACCATATTTCACCTCAAGATACCGTAGAAGAAAGAGCCACACTACACATTGCAAATAAGGCTGAAATGAAAAGAAAGAAAGATTAATTAAAACTCTTTTGTTCCTTTATCATTTTGGCAAATGGATGCTTTAAAATGGGCACTGGTACATCATCTACAGTCAATACTATTATACTAGCAGTGGAGGTATTGTACTAAGACACTGACAGGCACATACATTAGTGCAAAGATCTAAGTTTAAAATGAAGTGTTTCTAATAATCAAACTAAATTAAATGGTAGTCTAAGTAAGCTCTAGGCAATCAACTGACTGTTTATCACATCTTGATCTACCCAGACTTCATAATTTTCTGTGTAAATATGTAAATTTACTTCAGTTCCTGTAGCTTTAAAAAAATGTCTTATGTTGTGGAAGCTGAAGTAGCATCCTGTGCTTGACCAACAGGAAACATTCCAGTTTCTCCACTTGTCATAACAAAAACAGCATTACAACTCCATACTATTAAGAGGCTCCTCCATGTGTCACCAATGCCAAATGTATTTACATTTGTACCTTACCTTTCCAAAGCTCAGGGCAGCTTACATAAACATTTTAAACACAGCAACAAATTAAAATAATAATGTTTTAAGAGTTTAGTTGCATGTGGGATCCAATCCCATATCTCCAGTGCCAAACAGCAACACCCATTGCTGGACAGCCTGACTGATCCTTCTACCACTGTGGCACATAAATACTGTTCAAGGCTATTTATTAGTATATGCATGCCACAGTGGTAGTAGGATCAGTCATGATGTGCCAGCAATTGATACTGCTGTACTGGCATTAGAGACAAGGGATTGGATCTTGCATGCAACTAAACTCTTTAAAATATATGATCCAAGAATACAAATGTCTTATATAAATTAGAAATAACAGTTACAATAATAACATAAAAGTCAACATCATTACTTTAAAAAATGTTTCCAGAGGGTGAAATCTCTGGTGCTCTTAAGGAAAAATATGGTGCTTACCGCTATTACTGAAACCAACAATCTTTCTGAATTTCTTTCCATCATGTGATCAAGTTTCTGGGTTATCTACAAGGTGATAAACATTGCTTATTTCAATAATAAATCTGTTTTTTATATGGTCATTCTAAATTAAATAACAGTACTATTTTTTTAAAAAAAATCACACTGCTCCTTTGATGAATTTACATGTGAATTACAACAGTATTCCAACCAGTACTGTTAATCCTTGATTACCGATGCTGGATCTCAAACAACTTTGAATATCATCCAACTGGATCTAAAGATTATGAACTGAATCTGCTTCCCCCCTTGATATTTTTTTCTAATCCAGCAAAATCCAGCCTGATTATGAGTTCTGGTAAATTTGCAAAATCACTTTGTGTAATTTTGGATTGTCCTGATAATAGGTTTTATGTGACTTTGTTCTTGTTTTTGGATTTTGCATAGACCAACACAAATACCCACAACTTTCTGGAACGTCTAAAGAAAACAAGTTACAAGCCCATGTCCCAACAGAATCTATAGAGTTTATGAGTGCAGTTGATTGCACATTATCTGCTTTTACAAATAGTAAATTCATATTAGGTATTTTGTAGAACATGTTATTGATGATGGGAAATAAACAAATTGCATCTCCAGGAGTGTATTTCTCCTCCACCGCTGAAAACTCTTCAGAAGTTACACTCAAAATAAAACCATATTTTCATCCACTAAACACTTACCTTTATAAAACAAATCAGAGACCCAATAAGAGGATAGATTGGAATGAAGATAGAAAAACAAGTGTGAAGAACAGCAGCTGCTGTATAACACCACATAAAGGAAACTAGTTCAATTACAAAAGAACAAACCAAGGCTGCCTGAAAGGGAGAAAAAAAAGAAGAATTTAAAGTTAAAATAAAGAACTGTGAATTATTTTCAACTACTTTCCTAACATATCTTTGTACTAGATCACTTGCCAAACAAGAAAATGTGTATACTCTGCCTTAAGGCACACGCACTTATAGAAATAAAAGCAGCAATATGTGGCTTGTGCCTGAATTACATCTTTAGGGGCCCTCTGCTGAAACAGCACAAACTAATGCTAGTGATGACTCTGCAGTGATATATGCAAGCTTAGGATGCTTTTGTGAGAAAACAAAATGGTTGCAAGATTGAAACACAATCCACATGCAGAAAAATGTAAACAGGAGTATTTTTCATGTAAAAATGAACATTACTAAATTCACATAAACTGGGAAGACAAAGTCAAAGTTTTAACTTACCACTGAAAAAATGAATGACCAAAATTCTTTAGTGTTCTGTATGGTTTTAAAGGTAAAGGACACAATGTAAGTGAACAGAATTACTGAAGGTACATAGCCAATAAAAGAAAAGACCTGCAAGTAAAAGACATCTTTTTAGAGTTGCTTATAGCATGTATTGGTATGAAAACACAGCACAGATATAATTTAGAGCATATTCCATATTATTGAGCTGCATATGTCATAAGAAGATTCCTAAAGGTTTAACAACGCCTTTTAACTTCTACTCCTTGTCTCTTGCCCGTGTGTACCTCCCATACAGGCACCCACTGCCTCTCCTCCTCTCCATACTGGATGTGAGGCTCTTGCTGATTAGTCGACACTGAGGCTGATAGAGCCACCTAGGGAAGATGAATACAGGTCCCTTGTTATTCATAACTGCTGAACAGAGAAGGAAGATGTGCTTTTATACTTGGTCATTTGGAAAACAAAAGGGAATTTCTTACTATAAATTCATGACAGGCAGGAGAACACTGTCAGTTCTTTACAGGGGTCGTTTCGTAGAAAAAGAGCTAGGGGAACTCATTAGCATAACTCATTAGCATATGCCACACCCCCTGACATCACCGGAGGTGTGTCATAAGGCCACACACCCCGCCCCCAACGGTCCCGGCCGCCGCCGGCCTTGCAGCTCCACTGCTGAGCCCCATGAGGTGCCCGGCGGTGGACCTGCAAGGCTGGCGGGAGTGCGAGGAAGCCCCGCGAAGGCCCTCCCTGGCCCCAGGCAGGCAGGGGTGGGGAGAGGCAGGGACCTCTTCTCCTGCCTCCTCCGGGCTGAATGAGGGCCGGAAGCGAGGCGGCCGGAAGCCGGGGGCGGGGCTTTGTCATGTGCCCCGCCCCCCGTACCTCACCCGAGGGAACTGCGATCCCCCGCGATCCCGAAATGACCTCTGGTTCTTTATCTGAACAGGAGCAGCGGCAGCATGCTAGCTAACTCCTCCCCTGGAGAAGGGTTCCCTACATCCTAGACCACATTAGAAAAAGCAAGAATCCCACATGCACAAATAACTAAGCAGAAGGGAATGCCATGATAGCACAACACCATGTCCACTTTCAAACATAAAAAACCAAGGAAAGCAGTAACTAGAAAATGTTCCAGGTGGTTCTATCTACCAACTACTGTCCCAAGATACAAGCTGATCCCAGCTGAGACTGGAAGGCAGAATGCACTCCTATGTCTTCTGAGAACAGCAGCTTTCAGGGAGAAAAAAGACCCTCACTTTTGTGTTAGAGAAGTGATACTCCCTCAGCAGCTCAGGAGCAACAAGCACCATTTCCCAATGTGGTGCCAGCTCCCATGTTTCAAGAAAGTGAGCAAGGCAATTGCCTAGCCTTGAAAGCTTGCACAGTTTTGTGTCATAAGTCTGACTTGTATTGTAAGTCCTTCCCTTTGCTTCAAATACACAAGGGCTGACTACAGTTCAGCTAATGTTGGGGAAAGACACCCAACCCAAGATACTCTGGTAATTTAAAAGGTTATAGTTACCTATTTAATTTTAATAGCTATATCTTGTTGAAGAAGAAGAGGAGGAGGAGGAGGAGGAGGAGGAGACTGAATTTATACCCCATCTTTCACTACCCAAAGGAGTCTCAGAGTGGCTTACAAATTCCTTTCCCTTCCCCTCCCCACAACAGACACCCTGTGAGGTAGGTGGGGCTGAAAGAGCTCTCTCGAGAACGGCCCAAGAGAGAGCAGCTCTGAAAGAACTTATGACTGGCCCAAGGTCACACCAGCAGCTGCATGTGCAGGAGTGTGGAATCAAAACCGGTTCTCCCAGATTAGAGTCCGTGCTCTTAACCACTACACTAAACTGACACTACACCAAACTGGCATGTGTGTGTTTGGTTGGGTAGCGGGCATGGCACACAGTAGTAATGTAGCTCTTTTGGTTGATGGTAATTACGAATGTGGCTCTCTGCAAGCCACAGAGGGACTACCACTTTATTAGAGCAAACGCTATTCTCAATCCTTTTAAATGTAGACAAGCAGTGTACATTGCAGTTCACAGGTGGAGACAGTGTCCTTACTAGATGAGAATCCTCTCCAAAACTCTCCTACCAAATGCCACATTTCCCCAAAGAGTAGAATCCTACAAACACGGCTTCCAACTTCCTTGTGGATGCTATTTTGTCCAAAAAGAATCTAAGAACAGTCCTAACATCCAGTGTTACCAGTTCTTCTCCCACAGATGTACGGGTTGCAGACTAAAAGACAGACTTCTCCCTGGGTCTTTTTGAAACACAAAGCCAATCTTTAGACATAAGAAGGAATCAGTTCTCAGTATCGCCTTATTTATATGGAAAACACACATTTTGATCTGAGAGAACCGTACCCCCAGCTCGAATGCCTTTGTACTTGATGTGAAAGCAGAAACAAAATGGCTATTGTGTAGTGGGTTGACCGCATGGGCCTTCTCAGCTCCCATAACATGCTGCACGCTTGACTCTTACACAACTAAGAACAAAGACAAACGGCCAGGAGGCCAACTATATACATATCCAGGGGACACCCCTGGATCCCATTGGGGGGTTTGAACTTCCCTCCCATGTTTCTATTGGCTCCCTGTGGGAGAGCCCAGGAGCCCAGTTCCCATTGTTCACCCAGGGTCAAGCTCTGGGTAGTCGCTGGCCCCTGGTGGCGGCCAGTGGACACAACAATGGCCATTTAAGTTACCAGGAAAGTCTGCAGTGGCTTCTCCCCTTGAGGGCGAATTGCCTAGAACCCTCTCCCCCTTCCCCTCGCCCTCCATAGGGTTCTCTCATGTGCACAAAAAAAGTCTGTCCCCAGCCAGCTCCAGTCTTTACTCTTTCACTACAAGTGAACAGGCATTTTAAAGGAGAGGGCTTACCAGGGAGGGGCAGCAGCCACCATTAAAACACCTCTTCAGGAATTGGTTGCTTTTGCCTCCCTGTGTGGGACAGCAAAGTCCAGAGCAAACAGACTTGCACGATCAAGGCTTGTATCCCTTTTTTTTTTTTGCAGAGAGCTGCTGGGGAGAGGAGAAGCTCGTTTGCTTAACCTTCAGCTGCTACAATAGAGGGGGAGGAGCTGCTACTCCATCTGCCTCTGGGCAGCCTCGCAGGGGGCACTCTTCCCCTTCTACCTGCAAACCATGTTCCAAAATTTCCTGTTCTTCCCCCAGCCTTGGCTGCATTTCTGTTACCTCTTCTTTGCCTCCTCAACCTTTACACTGTAGAGGTATGTAGGAGACAGACAGAAGCCTGGAGCTGGCTTGGCCTACCAAGGCAAGGGAATGGCACGATTCCCCCCTCCCCACTCTCCCCGGTCCTTGGGGCATGTTCTTGTTTATCCAATGTTGGTGCATCTGAAAAAAAAGTCCAGATGAGTTTTGAACTTTTCAGCGTTGACAGCAAAGCTGAGTGTTCTTCTGTTCCTGTTTTCACTCTTTTCCCTCTCCTTTATTCTTCTACTTTTTCAAAACGATCAGGCTCTCTCTTTCTCTTCTCCTTCTGCTGGTATCATTTTGCAGCATGTCCACCATTTTCTTGTAAAAGCAGGGTAGATTTTACAATGTAATCCTATCTTAACCATACCTACTCAGCAAATCAGTCCCCATGTATTCAATGAGACTTACTCCCAGTATATAATGTAATATTATGTATATACAATGCAGGCTGATCCTGCATTGAGTAGGGGGTTGGACTAGATGGCCTGTATGACCCTTTCCGACTCTTGTGATTCTATGATTCTATGTTTACTCAGAAGTAATTCCCATTTTATTCAGTGGAGATTTCTCCCAGATAAGCATGTATAGGATTACAGCTTTACAGTGCAATCCTATGCACACTTACCTGGAAGCAAGCCCCACTGAATACAGTGGGCCTTACTTCTAAGTAGGCACACATAAGAATGAGTTGCAAGGCACTTCCTGAACCCAAATCGGGCTGAGAAAGTACTATACAAGTGATGATCCATTTTCCCCCAGGTCTGTTTTTAGCTCTCCAGTCTGTCCCGTGTGAAAAAACCATTAGAAAAATATTTTCAGTTGAACCATTTTTCAAATGGGTGTTCTGCGCAAGTGTTGTAGAGTGTTTCCTTATTGGGAAACTTGGTCTAAGGTACCCTTACAGCTTTACAGTGCAATCCTATGCACACTTACCTGGAAGCAAGCCCCACTGAATACAGTGGGCCTTACTTCTAAGTAGGCACACATAAGAATGAGTTGCAAGGCACTTCCTGAACCCAAATCGGGCTGAGAAAGTACTATACAAGTGATGATCCATTTTCCCCCAGGTCTGTTTTTAGCTCTCCAGTCTGTCCCGTGTGAAAAAACCATTAGAAAAATATTTTCAGTGGAACCATTTTTCAAATGGGTGTTCTGCGCAAGTGTTGTAGAGTGTTTCCTTATTGGGAAACTTAGACCAAGGGTTCCTTGGTCTAAGGTACATTTGGGGGAGGAAGTTCACCCTGTGCAAGGATCACTCCCCACTCTGTTTGCTCAACAAGGCTAAAGGGGAAAATCCCAAATTTCTGCATTGGAGCTTAGCCCTGCAGGTCTATGAATTTGAGATAAAACACATTAAAGGCAAGCACAATGTAACCACTGACATGCTATCCAGAAGTTCTTCTTAATGTGTCTTACATGCAAAGATCATATACTTGAAATGATATATTCTGTTTGGTGTTGTAATTTTGTTTTTCTTTGCCAAAATTTCTCATTTAGTATAAAATAATTTGTCTCCTTGGTGGTATCCAACATCCCATGCTGTTCAGTTCGGACCAGTGGTTCTGCAAAACAAGCCCGCCCAAACTGAACTTCAAAGGGGGGAAAATGTGACAGAAATCCTAAAACTTGCTAAAGTGTAAGAGTGCCACCTATTGCATCTGGACCTCTAGATTCTATTAGAATGAATTATTCACTTCCATTCCATATTGGACCATTCTGACAGACTTAATCCCTTTGGGACAAATGACAGTCTGGTTTGGACCAGACCAATGATTTGTCATGGAAGTTCAGAAACATTACCAGGTGCTTGATGGAGGTGGGACTATACTGAACATGGCTCTGATTGGTAAAAGTGGCCTCTGACATCAGAGATGGGGATGTGTGTTTGGGACTGGAAAAATCCACTTGACATTCTTAGAAAGGAGGGTGGCTTAGGTCCAACATTTAGCATAACTATTTAGACATTAGGGAATTTCACTCATCTTCACTTTTTCAGTCTTCAGTGGAAATTGGGTCCACAGGAAGTTGGGCAGGGGTTAAGGACTCCTTCGATTTCTTGTTACCACAAGTACCCTGCTACAGCATAGCTAACACGTGGTTAGCTTAGTTAGTTAAACGGTATTGCTTTTCATTTGAATATCTTTATGCAGGTGCTGCTGTGTGCCATATTTTGTTTTCCCTTTTTCCACTCCTTTTTTAATCCAACCACCCTTTCCCATTTTTCCCTCTCTTTCTCAATAAAGCTTTTTATGAAGGGTTTTTTTTGCTTAGTTTAATACATTTCTCTGGGATATTTCTCTTAATCTCTTCCCCATGTGCTAGACCATATGGGTGCTACCAGGTTGGTTAGAAGTTATTTTGTTATTGTTCTAGTACTGTATTGGAAGACTACCTTCTCAGCAAGTCAGTTTAGATATTTTCAGGAGGTCCTGAGTGGTGGCAGCTGGTTACCAGGGTACTTTCCAGGGAACCCTTGGTCTAAGGGAGTTTCCCAGCAAGGAAAGGCATCCCAGCAAGGAAAGGCATCATTTCCCCCTTCCTAACAATAAGTGAGGGTGAACTCTCACTTCAGTCCCTCCTCAATTTGAGAAACAGGAAGCCCTTCTCTAGTGAAGGAGAATTAGCAAGTTGTAGATGGCAAGGGCGATCCCTCAGGATCAAGAAACTACCTGCCTCTCACAAAGGCCGTGAGCTTTACTTAGCACTGCCAACAGAATCTGTATGAAAAATATGGCAGCCTATATCCTGATGTTACTAGCCACTAGAAGCAGATTTCCAGCAGTGTTTATGTATCTTTACTGGCTGCCATCTGGCTTTCAGATGCACAGCATGGTTTTAGCTTATATTAAGCAAGGAAAGGCATCCCATGCATTGTAACTTTTCTTAAGTTGCATTGTAAATGTTAAGAGTAATATAAAACTTTCTCATGACTGGCATCAGTATACCAAGCATGTATGAAAAATGAATGCAAAGATACACGTTTTTGAGGCCTGGCCCTCAAATTATGGAACCCCCTACATTGCAAATTTACAAAAAGACCGAACATTTTTGGACATACTGTAAGATATTTTCATTTGAGATGAACACCTATTGCTGGTAGGGGGTGGTAGGGACAAGCGGAGTAATCAATATGAAATTTAGTTGTTTAGTATAAAGTATCAGCATTTGGGAAGAGATGGATTAAAATCCAAATGTTGAAACAAAAAGAGAAAAAGAACAGAACATTTATGTGAAACGGAAGAAACCTTACCACAGCAAGAAACTTCTCCGGAAAAAAATAAACTTCATGGTGAAATACGAACAAGCTTCCTATCATGAGAAAGAGAATAATGTAAAATAAAGGAATGTCAACTATTGCTTGTCCACACCAGTAAGCAGAAGGATAAAGACCCGAAATCTTCAACTGAGTGTAGGCTTTAATCTGTAAGAGTACAAAAACAAAACGTTAAAATACATGTTAAAACATGGAGAATGACAGCAACTCTTAACAATTAGGTTGGCTCGTACAACTTTTTCATTTATTTTTTTCATTTATTATTTCAATTTATATCCCGCCCTTCCTGCAAACAAGCTCAGAGCAGCTCACAACAATAAATAATACAATCTAAAATAATACAATCAAATAATACAATAAAACCAATTTAAAACATTTAAAATGGGTAGTGCAATACATTAATCAAACTTCCTTCTGTTCCTTGCTAGTGCAGAAAGAGGTTTGCTCTGTTGGAGAAAGATTCTTTATTCTGCAGAAGGAAGTCACTGGATCTAAGACTCTGTATTTTTCTTTTGTCCTCTTCTTCCCTTCCCATTCTCCCAAGTAGCCCACATAGAGAGCATCCATAGCACCTGATGCATTCTGAGAACAGTATTTCTAAGGTCCCCAGAATATACTAGGCACAATGGGCATTATCCATCTCACATACTTGGGGAGGAAGACAGAAGAATGGAGAGATGCTGCAAGAATTTCCTGTCCTCTCAACTGCCTCCCACCACCACCACTTCAGCAGAGCAGGTAAGTTGGGTGAAAAAGGACAGGAAGAATTCCAAGGTTCCGCACATATAACACCCAGAGCATTCCTAATGCCATTACTGGGTGCACTATGGTGTTCCAACTTGCGCCAAGTGCTCAGCAAATAATACAAACTATTTGCCAATATATCCACAAATTGTTTGGTTTCTCCAGTTCTGAGAAGTGGGAAAGGGGAGCTCATCAGTCTGTTAATTAAGCATAGTCAAAATTGTGCCCTATCTTCCTCTCAGTTGGTCTGTAAATAGTTTTCAACAAAAAATTAACTCTACATTTGAGCTGATAAACTTTTAAAAGATAGAAAGACAACACTGAAGAGATCATATGAGCATAAAATCGTAATGCTAGGAGGGCCATCAAGGGTTCTTAGTCCAACTTACTGACCTAAGAGAAGATACTTCAAAGACCCATAACACTTGAAAGAACCCAGATGGTAGAAAAATGTATTCTACTAAAATCAAATTATATAGCAAGTTACAACTAGAAAGCAACTTAAAGAAAGGAACAGTAATGCCAGAGAGGTCTACACACTAGGGAGTAACTGGAATAAGATAGATCAAAAGGACTCAAATGACACAGTAAAATGAAAATCCTCTAGAACGGTCATGAACTGAAGAGGAGATTTAATTCCAGACCCAAGTTTGACTATGACATTGAGCAAGAATATCTAAGCAAATTAGATTAACTTGTTAAATGTTTCATTTTTGCCCTTACAATAGTTAGATCCCCCAAAATGTATAATTTAAAAGCATGCAAATTGATGGTTCATTATGTGTTTCTGGTACATCACACTGCATGGTTGGTTTCCTTAGTAGTAGCACCCAACAAGTATGTACCGTAATATAGTTTGAAAACAAGTTAGGACAGCATAAACAACTGAATGATACCATCTAGTGACAATCTTGAGAATTAAAAAAAATATTTTTACTGTTTATTTAAATATAGAAGAATGCTTTAAAATTTCTTATACAATTAATCACTAATTGCTCCAGCATGTTGTATGAAATCAATTAATATAAACCACAGTGGCAACTCAGTGATCATTTGTTGGTAATGCTCACTCCTGATTTTCATTCATTGTATCATGCAAATTTCTTTAAGTCATCCAGTGTTGGGCTAATATGTTGGATATACTGTGTGTGTTTTTTTTTAAAATGTTATCTTAATAGTGTTACCTTGTGATTTTCTGCATTCTCCATGGCAAAATATGGTGGCATTCCAGTTACAATGATTCCCAATAAGACAGCTCCAAAATAAAGCACTACTGTGGAAAATGTATCAGTAAATTCCTGCAAAAGAACAGATTCAAAGTTAGGGGGGATCTCCTTAAACAGGATGTTGAATGAATGAATGATGTTTATTTATGGTTAAAGACCATTTGTCAAAATAATACATATTTGTTAAATACAAACAGATTAGCTTTCAGTCCAAAAATATATATTTAGGCATATAACCTTAGACCCATTAAAATGTTAAAAAATAGAAAGTTTAACAGTCCATTATATCTGAATAACTATGAAAATGTCTAAAACTAAACTAATTATAAGTCATACAAAAGGTGACTGAGGGTTTTTATTGTGGAATTTTACCAGCTGCAAGCAGAATTTAGCTATTTGTCTGGAGTTTTGTTGATTTTCATCTTTTGGGCCTTGCCAAAACCATTTGTTGTTATTGTTTGCTACTTACAGCAAAAACGGGAAGACAGTCAAACACTTGGTAGGCCATGATACATCTAGTTGACTATATTTGGTGTAAAGAAATTTGAGGCCTTTTTTAGATTAATATATGTGCACAGAAACACTAGATACTCTTCATACATCTGAGAAAGGAAAAAAGCAATTCATTCTTATATGAGCCATATTTTTTTTCACTAAAACTTTTAACTTTTCTTTACAGAAAAGTTTCAATTTTTTCATAAATGCCAGGCATCTTTGAGTACCTGAAATCGCTCTTTTCATGGTCCCAGGTGAAGTCATAGATAGTGGTTAATTCATCAGCCTTTGCTTCAGATCTTACTTCTGCTAACACTTTCCCTCAAGGCAGGAGTGATCCAACTCCAGTCTACACATCTGCAAACTATTCCATTACACAGAAAGGTGTGGTTTTATTTTGTGGTCATACTAGAAGATTTCAGAGAGGCAGCATACTATACTGTAGACCCTCATGATTGGCAGTTGATATTCCTGGAACCACAAATGGCAAAATCCACAAATACTGAGAGGGAGGAACTGGGAGACAAAAATGGACTGGAAAATAGGGCTGCCAGCCCACGGGTCCAGGTGGGGGTTCCCCTGCTTTTGGGGGCTCCAATCTGCCCCCAGGCCAGCTGGTCAGTGGTAAAAGCCCTGCCCCCAAGCACAACCACCTGCCCGGCCACCTCCTCCTTCCCCTCCCACTAGATTTAAAGGGCCCTCCAGCTGATCAGCAGGCCATGTGGTCTGCTGATCAGATGGAGGACCCTTTAAATCTAGCGGGATTGGAGGGAGAGGGGTGGCCACTGGCCAGGCAGGTGTTTGGGGGCGGGGCTTAGGGGAATCCCTGCTCACTCCCAGAATGCCCCCAAATTCCCCCGCTGGAGCGGCCAAGGGACTTGGCAACCCTACTGGAAAAGGCCCTGCTCTCACCCCCATTATGCCAACTAGCCAGAGCAAGCTATGTGCAGCACACAGCTTGGCCATGGCATTGCCACTGAGCTAGCTGGCCATCTAATGATGTAGCTGCTGCCGCCTGGGTGAGTTGTGCAACTGCCTGGCAGCAAGACAAGGCTGCATGAGTTTATGGTAGTGATAAGAGTGTCGGACTAGGATCTGGGAGACCCAGATTTGAATTCCCACTCTGCCATGAAAGCTATGTGCAGCACACAGCTTGGCCATGGAATTGCCACTGAGCTAGCTGGCCATCAAGTGATGTAGCTGCTCAGACTAGGATCTAGGAGACCCAGATTTGAATTCCCACTCTGCCATGAAAGCTTGTAGGGTAGCCTTGCACCTGTCACACACCCTCAGTATAATCTGACTCATAATCTAATAGCTATTGTTATGAGAATAAAATGGAGGAGAGGAGAACAATGTTGTTAGCTCCTTTGAGTCCCCACTGAGGAGGAAACCTGGGTTTAAAATTGTTAATAAATAAATAAATTTCAGTTGTGGATAGGCATTCCTTTTAATTATCAAGGTATGTTGTGGGCAGTGCTGAGACAGAAATGAGAAAACCGATTTCTATACTGTTATTGTGCTGAAGCACTAATGAGGTGTGAACAAGTAAAAAAATGAAAGAAACTAGAGGGAACAAGAAATTCCTTCTATTAATACTCATTTTTATCTCTACTTCAGCGTGAGCTCTCTCTAGCACATTAATGGAGAAAGTGTAGCACTTTTTACTCAAGAGAGCATTCCTGCACTTATGTATGTAGGACATTTTAAAAAATTAAACTAAAAGGAATATAAACAATGCAAGCAAAGTTAATAAGGTGCAAGTTTCTATGAGCAAATTCAAAAAATTATTGTTCAAGAAATTGTCATTGTTTAATGTAAGACAGCTGGAGCTAGTCAGGGCAGAACAGAACAAGCAATGAATAATGGAACAGAAGCAGGAGAATCTTCTCCTCTCTAATAAAAACAGTCTACTTATCTTCCTTTGTCCCATTAGACAATTTTATAACAATCAGGGGGGGGGCTGTATTCACTTACTTGAAAGAAAGGGCTACTCCAGATATTGATGCTTTCAGTTACATTTAAGCTGCGCAGATAGAGGTTACTAATAACATTCATCATAGCAGGTAAAGAATGTACCATGGTACGGTTAAAAGCAACTGTGAAGGTGTAGCTCTGAAACAATAACAACAGACATTAGCAAATTAGTTTACATATATGAAGATCTTTAGCAGAGATAAGAACATGCCTACTTGCAGTACATTGCTTGTGCAAGTACTAGATGATGTGCTTCTCTAAGTGAGTGCCTTTCACATACTCCTTCACAAGTCTGTCAGAGTACAGGAGTTCTTTGTCCCATCTAACAAAGGTCCCTCTTGGTAAGTAATATATAACCACTACATGATTGTATGTGGATAATCATGCTGCAAAAATTGTTACTAAGCACACTGGAGAACAATATTGCACTGTACTTCTTTTGAGAAAATTCTGCTCTGATTTGCAATTAATCTGTGAAAGGCACAGTAGGCGAGAATCTCATAATACACAGGGGAAGTGCCCAAATTTCCTTCCGGCATCAGCCTCTAATGTACCCTGACCTTGGGGAGAGGCGATTGAGGTCTCCCAAGTGTGACCAACTGTAAAATCAGCAGCCACATACACGGTTTTGTATCCTGGTGAATAAATGTTTTAATGAAGGTTGCCTAGCAACCTGTAGAGACCCTTATTTAAAAGTATGTCCCTTCCCTCCATTTCTTGAACATTTCCTTTTTCTTCCTTAGCTCATCATGGAGTTCTCTATTCATTCGCATTGACTTCATGGATCCCCTCCCATGTTTCCATCTTACTGGAATAGTGATGATTTGAGCTTGCAAAGAGCTTTTAGGAAAGCCCATCCTTCACTTGCTCCTTTCCCTTTCAACATTCTTGCTTATGGAACGACTCTCATCATGCACTGTTCATTACAGTCCGTCCTATTAAAGTCTAACATACATGTCTGGCTACTAACCCCCCCCCCCGGCAAAAGGAATTTTAGGAGGACATGGTCACTTGCCCTAAGGTCCCCACTACCTTTATCCCTTCTACCAACTCTTGCCTGTTAGTTAATATTAAATATGTCTGAGTTCCTCATAGCTTCTTACACCATTTGAAAAAGGAACCTGTCAGCCGGGCAGGTCAAGAAGTTGCATGACTCTGGATGCTTAGCAGTATTTGTCTCCCAGCACACATCAGGGATGTCAGCCATCATTACGAGGTCATGTTGCTTGGATAAACTGTCAAGCTGCTCAAGCAGAGCAACACCCACCTTCTCACCATGATCAGGTGGGTAGGAGCATCAAGCCTCTATAATGGCTACTAAATCATATCCCCCTGTCTGCATTAGAAGCTCAAGCTTCTTATTGCCCAAGCTTTGGGCATTGGTACCTAGGCACCTGAAACCCTGCAATTTTGGCTCCTTTTGACTTGACCTTCTCAGGTGGGCATCTGCTGTTTGCTCTCCTTCACTGAAATCCCTGTGTTAGTCATCTCCTTCCCCTTGCAGTGTCAATTAAAAGTCATCCTTATGAATCTCCCCAGGTTCCTGCCGAACACATTCTTTTCCAACCTTGATAGGTGAAGCGCATCACATGCTAGTAGGCCATCTTCCAGAAAAGCTAGCCCCTTGTCCAAGAATCCAAGTTACCAATGCAATCAGCAGTTCACCTCCATTATCTTCTGTTCCCGTTGCATTCCTTTTCCTCCGAGAGGAAGGATGAAAGAGAATACCACTGGTGTCTCCATTCCCTTCACCTTTCTCCCAAGAACTTCACAGTCAGCCTTAATGCTTGTGATGAAGTTCACAGCCATGTAGTTTGTTCTCACATGGACCATCACAAATGGGTAATGATCTGTAGGTCCAATCAGTTATGGCATCCAGTCCGCAATAAGTTAAATCTTTGCCCCTGGCAAGCAACACACCTTGTGGCCTTGGGGGTCAGGCCTGGACAGATGACATTCCATACTCCTCAGCAGAGAGTCACCGATTACCAACACTTTCCTTTTCCTTCCAATGCCATTTCTTTGTATGCCCATACTCTCCTTACTCTTTCATGTCATTGCAGTTCTTCCTTTGCCAGTGTTTCTGTCTCTGTCACCACCACAAGGATCTGGAATCATTTCTTGAGCTCCAGTAGCACTGAGTGCTGTCTGGCTCCATGCCTTTGGATTCATGCTGTAGCACTCAGAGGAGGCTTGTTAGGGAAGACAACAAATCTGTTGTCCCTTTGACTCCTCTCCATCTCTATGCAGGGCCTCATGGCTTCTGTTAATGAAAGCCTCCCTTTCTTTGATCTCATGAAGGGTAGCAATCCTTTCCTGCAGGCTCTTCTAAGAGCCCTATCATTTTACCCTTTTGACAAGAGAAATTTGTCTTGTCCTGAGGGAGGAAAACAAACACAGCACACTCCCTGCAGGTGACTGGAAATTGACCTTGAGCATTGAGCATCATTTTCCAAGTGGATTTCTTCACCCTACAATTTTTTAAAAAATACTTATTTAATATTTACGTACTCTTCACCCTACAATTTCCTCTGTGTGTTGATGTAACCTGGAACTTACAGGTCTGACCTAGTAGCTACTGAAGCCAAAAGCTGTAACACATACAGGAATATAAAAACTTCTTGGCTTCTTACAGAGTCTTCAGGCCTGACCCTCAGGCTAAGAGACACACACCAAGAGCCCTCTGGTTCTCACACCACTGTTCTGCTTTCACCTTTCTATGTCACCTTGACCACTTATTTAGAAAGGCAGCTCATAAATAAATAAATATAATTTAGATGTAATGATATTACACTATAATATGTATAACAATCTCTTATCCTTCCCCAGGACTAGTAATTAAATAGAACATGCATCTGTTCTCACATTGTCTGTATGAAAGACATTTATTGCTCCACTGTGGGGGGCCACTGAAACATAACCACTTCCATTCAATGCTGTAGTGTGGTGCACAGATGATACATAATTACTGGCATTGAAGATCTCCGTCAGTATATTTTGGCTTCTAAGTGATCTGATGATGTCCTCAATATCTGATTCTAAATTAAGACAATGAAGAAAGTGACATGTCAGTACCACACATGCAAAGACACTTTGTGCACACAGCTCTGAATATGCACAAGCTTTCTCATTCTCCTTAATAACAAAGAAAGCTCTGTAGATATATCCCTATACTGCATATGGAGATACCACTGGCATTCCAGGCAACAGAAAGATCCATGTCTAAGAACTTATGTGCACTTCAGAACCCAAACACAACTTTGGACTGTGGACATAGAGACAATTATATTAGTATCATTTTCAAAAGATTTCTGCTGTCATTAATTGGTATGTGTCCTACCACCCAACTGAACAAAGTTCAGCCTAAGGAGCCTTCTTCCAACAGGTAATTATGCAAGCAGCAAGCAGCTGGAACTAGGTGAGTTATGGAAATCATGTGGTAGCCAGTAACCCAGTGGTTGCTGCTGGGCCAGTCCTCCCTTGAAAGTCAAAACAGCCCTGGAAAGAGTCCTGCCACCTCCCCCTGTCTTTTACTGACAGAAATCAAAGCTCGAAGGCTGGCAATTTGGTTGCGGTTACTCTGCATGGCCAATGAGGGCATTCATTTCTTAAAGCTACAGCCACTGCTTCTATCATTTTGGAAGGTTTTACCCTTTTAAAAAATGATTTCTGACTTTTCTCAGGTTTACAAAAAGATCTGTCTGTCCATGGCCCCAATCTTTGCATTTGAGCATCCAAAGATTTGGCCGTACTAAGAATTAAATATAGCACACAGAGCTCTAGGGATGAGAACAGATCTTATGTTAATCAAACTGAAAGTTTTGCCTTGTTGCAAGAATTACTGTGGTCCTACTCTGGAAGTATTTGCACCCAGTATGCCACCCTATCCAGTGAGCTGAACTTTTGGGGGGCAGCAAACTAAACAAAATAAATAAAAATAAGTGACTGTAGGTAAAATGAACTTGGTTCTTACCAGTGGAGTTTTGAATGAGGAGACTCGTTTTGTATTTGTGATAAACATCTTTTGGCTTAAGGAAGTACAAATCAGGGGAGAGTTTTACAAGTACCACAGCATTTTTTAAGTAATGCCGTATAAGAAATAAAAGAATCTGAACAACAAGAAACAATGTGAACAGCAAGAACCTAAAAGAAAAGAAAAAAGTAACAATGATCCATACTACATACAAGTTAAGTAGTAGCTTTTCTTTAGATCAGCAGAATTCCAATGGCCTGCTGACACTGGCATTCAAATTTATAAAGCAAAACTGCATACTCAGGATTTTTTCTCCATTAAGTATAAGGGGAGGTTAAATCCAGCAATCCGTCAGTGGATCTTTTCCACATTCTCCTATCCCCACCACCTCCTTCTGACTTCAGATAAGTTTATTCCTGGGGTCATGGGACTTGAATGGACTCACAGCCATGAGAGTCAGGAGGCTTCAGTGGGGAGAAGGGAAGGTGCATAGTTGTTCCTTTCTGCCTCTTCCCTCAGTGCAACTGAACTGAAGGAAGTGGAAGAAGGGAGGTCTTTCACATCCCTCCCCCTGCAGCCTCCCAACCCTCATGGTTATTAGTCCTTGTGGGTCCCATAGCCCCAGGAATAAACTTCCCTGGGAACAGAAAAGACTGCCTGCGGAAGGGGAACATGGAAAAGATCATTGCATTCATAAATCACTAGTGTCTTGCTGGATCAGACTAAGATCCACCTAGCCAAGCATTCTTTGTGAGAATCCCAGAAACCAGTGAGTACAAGGTGGATGTCTGGAAATCGGCCTGTGGCCCACCAGTGGATTGGTCTATCTCCTGCGCACACTTACAGTACACATGTAATTATTTTACTCATCCAGAGTCCAATGAAATGTACTTACATCTGAGTAACCTGTACTAAGTAGGCCCTGACCTGGATCATTCAGGCTAGCCTGATCTCATCAGATCTCAGAAGCTAAGCAGGGTCATCCCTGGTTAGTATTTGAATAGGAGACCACCAAGGAAGTCCAGGGTTGCTATGCAGAGGAAAGCAATGGCAAATCATCTCCATTAGTCTCTTGCCTTGAAAATGCTATGCGGTCACCGTAAGTCAGCTGCCACCTGATAACACTTTATACACATACGAAGTAAAAACAGAGGACTGGATGGGGTCAGGGAAATACGTACAAATCTCTGGATATTCATAATGATGTGGTAGCAAGGTCAAAACAGGGCTCTTTTAAGCCCAGTGAAAATTCTTTTATCCATTGTGCCCTTGAATATGACACATACTATAATCAATCTGCCATTAAAAGAACTAACAGTGCTGTTACTCAGCTACTATTGTGCTGCTTATTTCTGTGTCTCACACCATAAAATCCTTCCCAAAATTTTGGCCGAATGAACCAACACAAACCTGAGATACTTACACTGCAGTCGCGGATTTAATTTCACGTTGTAAACTAAGGAAATGAACCTTTGCCATAGTTGAGACCTGCTTTTTCCACAGAGACTTATTGCTCACTGCACAAGATTTTGTTTCAGATAGTATCAGAAGGCTTTGCTCTAATTCACTGATAGATTTTGCATCTATTTCATCTTCAGCTTGCTGTGGGTTAAATACACTGAAATCTAGAAAAGATAAGAAAACTGGTCAGGCATGTAGAATGTATCCTTAGTGAGCAGATCATTGGTCAATAATAGATGCTGTATGAGGTGAAACTGTCTGTAACATACTAAGGCTGCAATCCTATGCATCCTTAGAAGTAATTTCCATTGAACTGAAGGATTTATTTCCAGGTGAATAAACATAGGTTTCTCCTGTAAATAAAATATCCCACAGTATACTCAGGGATATACAGCACATTATTCTGTACCTTCTAGGAAGAAGTGGCATGATTAACTAAAGCAATGAATCAAAATATGTTTAAAATCTGGTTCTAGAACAAAAACCTCTAGCACAAACTGATATATAATGATCAAATGAGTTAGGCACAATGTGAATTAGTATCATTGTCATAAATGCAAAAATCATGTTAGGAATGTGAACATAATAATCGTAAGAAAATGAATAACAGAAGTTAATTCTAGTTGTTTTTCACCTGCTTGGTCAATTTCAGCTTCAACTTCTAGTTTGAGGAATACATCTTCCAAGGTTGTCATGGAAACCCCATAGGAGATTACACCCAAATGGGAATGAGTGTCCAGATCAGAAAATAATGCTGACAGAGAAAGGGGAAGATGTTAAGCTACTGCTTGGAAATAAAATTATATTTCCTTACAAACACATTGCCTCACTTATTTAAAATGTTAAGTGTAGCACCAACAAAGCTTTCTGTTATCACTACTGTTTAATAACTATGTACATGAGAAGTCTAATGCCACATAAAACAGCAGACTGACACTCCTAGATTACAATAATGATAACAATGTACACGGGAACGGAAGGTTTTTTTTTTTACTAAACTTTGGAAAACACTCTCCTAACCCTCCAATCTATTCTTTTTTTTAATGTTCCCATAGAGAAAAAAAAACATATTATTCACACAAATATGACTATCTGGGGGGAAACCATTGTGGTTTAGCTGCCACTTCCAGAATAGGGCCCATGTCCCTCTTCTATGTAATAAAAAAAAACATATTATTCACACAAATATGACTATCTGGGGGGAAACCATTGTGGTTTAGCTGCCACTTCCAGAATAGGGCCCATGTCCCTCTTCTATGTAATAGGGCTAATGCTAAAGACTGAAAGCTAACACAAGTCTTTTCAGTTTTGTCTTCCCTAGGTTTTACTGATTCCCTCATCTTCTGCCCACTGGTCATTTTATGGGTCATCAATTAAGATATTAACTGACCTGAAAACTTGTCCATGTCTTTAAAAGGTAAGGCATATACAAGTTGCTCTTCATTCTGTTTTAACAAACTGGCTCCAGGGATATGTTGTCTGACCAATGATGCTGTACCTTCTGTGTTACAGTACCTGTCTATGTGCATACTACAAGAAAACACATATATACATGCAAGGTATAATTATTATTGATTAAAGGTAGGCCTCATCATTTTAGAAAGATTACAAAAAAATACTGTAAACCAATCTGAAGTGAATACGTATTATCTAAACCCAACTAAAAGAAAAAAATTATAAATATTGATTCTATAATCTAAACTCCTACCAGAAAATATTCAGATTTTGACCACAAATAGAGCATCCAACTTTGCTGGATTGTGGACCACACATTACAAATGAAATGGGCCTGTAAACTACTAAATGATACCTCAAACGGTAGCCAATTCCCCATTTGGTTTTAAGGAAGAAAGAGGAGCCAACACATTTCAGCATTCCTTGAGAAATCACAGCTTTCCGATCTAGAAACAGGAACAGAGGGCATTCTTAATCACAGCTGTTTGTATAATAAAATAAAAATAAAAGCTGGTTTGTATAATAAGCTGTTCTGAAGTATTTAACACATAGTACAGTAATGGATTTTACCAGCTATAATGTCTGCTTCATCCATGAAATGGGTACTGAAGACAGTCACTCGATTTGCTTTCCTGCGTTTCAAAAGGTTCCAAACTGTATGTCGTGAGCATGGATCCATGCCAGCAGTTGGTTCATCTAAGAGTAATACCTAAACATTGAACAGGGAAAAGTTTTTAAAATAATGAACGAGTACTATCTGCCCTGGCTTCCAATTCGCTTCCCATCCCAATAAAAGGTACCACTTTTGGCCTGTAAAGTAAGTCTTAAATGGTTTTAGCCGCAAGTACCTAAGACCGGGAGCTGCGGTGGCTCAAGTGGTTAAGACGCTGAACTGCAGGCTGTGGAAGGTCGGTAGTTCAGCAGTTCGAGACCCGAGTGTGCCGCATGACGGAGTGAGCTCTCGTCTCTAGCTCCAGCTATTTCTTTTACTATGCCCTCTTCCTCAGGATGTTCGTATCCCACCGCTGCCACCACCTGTGACGACCTCTTCTCTGGGGAGGTCTGGTTTTACTTTAAAAGTTCTTATGTTTTATTTTTCTTTGGGTATTCTGGCTGCCACCAGGGAAATTTCGGCTTTCCCACACCTTTTCTATAATATTTTCTAAAACATGGAATCGTTACAGGAACCTTTACCTTTTTACCTAAGACACCATCTCCACTTATATTGTCTGATCTGAGATGGGACAGCCGCACAAAGAGCCTTCCTCTTAGATGGCATCCAATGGAGCTCCCTTTCTGCTACTATGCCCCATTTCTGGAACACCCTACCTCAGGAGCTTTCTGCACCCGTAAAGACCTTCTGGATGAGTTTAAAGAACTGACTTTTCTGGACAGTCGTTGATTTAGATTAAGGAGATTTTATAGATATTTATATTTTATGGTGGCTTTCTTGAGAAAGTAGTTTCACTTCTGCATAATTTGCTTGTTTATCATTCTCCTGACCTTACGTTATTTATGTTGTTTAGTTTTTATTGTATGTTGGCAAATCACCTGAGAGAATCTGATTTTGGCTGAAGGGTAATCAATACATTTTCTTTTAAATATGTATAAAATAGATTGAGACAATGCTAGGCATTTTACATATGTCCATCATGTCTTGGTAGTCTCTTAAAGGCCAGTAGAGTCAGTGGTTTCTGCATACTTTGGAGATACCCCTAGTGTTCAGAAAAGGTATTATTTTGTAGAAAGAAAAAGAGAAAGAGCCTAAAAACCTCTCAACATGAACTGTACATAGGAACAGAAATTTGGAAACAGAACTACTTGCATTGATGAACGCAGAGGTTTCATTGCACCCCCCATCCTTTAGAGTGGGGAAAAGTAATTTACCTGGACAATTCAGAAATGACAGGGAAGACCCCCCAAAAAACACATACACCCTATTATATTGGTCAGGTTGGGGGCTAGCTGAGCATCTCATTGCACAACAAACCTCAGAGACATCCCCCTGTCTCTAGTGCTACACTGTTCAGTTTAGGACTGGCAAAGCAGCACAGGGATGTGGGTTTATATACAGCTGTACCACTTCCCACTATTCTCCTCTCCCAACAATGCCATCTCTGCATAATTGCTTTGAAAGAGAATGGAGGATGAACTCCCTACACCACCATTACCAAACAATTTCTCTGAAGACCCCAAAGTATAGTAGTTAATATGTTGAAAGGAGAATCATTATACTAAAATAGCATCTTGAAACCATAATTAGGAAACAGTACTCCCCATAAAAATAGGAACACTCAGATAAATATAGTTTTGATCTAGACTCTTAGATAAACAAACGCTTGGTTACTGGACTATGATAAGGAATGTTACAAGAGATATAGCTCAAGATCTTATTTATGAAGATGATGTGATAAATAGGAATAATAAACGTGAAAGCTAACAATTTCTGCAAATTTTAAAACAAGAGTAATGCCGATGACCTTATGTTATGTACAAATCTTACATTCTACTTCTGTCCTACTGGTATTTACCTTGGGATCTCCAAGAATTGCGAATCCTATTGACAGTTTTCTTTTCTGTCCTCCACTAAGTTTTTTAGCTTGATTATCTTTAATGGGCTGCATATCCAAGTCCAATAACACTTTCTGCACCTTATGAAATAAAGCACAAAATGTATTCAGCAGTAATTAAAATGAGAAACAGTTGCATACAGTTTAATTTATTTGGACTTTCATCATGCCAAGGCTGAAACTGGCTTCCAAAAATTATGCATTTGATATCAATAGAACAGAAAATGACGGTTAATCAGGAATCAGCTATACCAACATCCAATTTTTTAAAAAGCAGTTTGAGGATTCAATTTCACAGCTTTAAAAAGATTATATATGCATTCTCATCCCATTTTCAGATTTTTTTCAAACCTCTATAGCAGATAAAATCTAGAAAAAGAAACTGGGGGAAAACAGGATCTTATGAACTCTGCTGGAGACAGCCTGTATAATTCTTTATTTTTTAATTATGTTATCACTAAAAATGCCGCAACTACTATTGCCCTTTCCAGCTGCTTAGATTATGAACAAATTGCATTAAATTATATCTCTGTATCACCTCAGTTACTTACCTCTTGTATCACGTAATTTGGAGGTATACCTTTAATTGAGGCCACTATAGAGAGATTCTCTTCCACTGTTAATACGTCAAAATATATATCTGTTTGTTGGCACACTCCTGTTATTTTTCTTACATCTAGCATTTCATCTATTTCAGAGACTCTGTATCCATAGATTGAAGCAAACCCTAGTGCATTTAAAAAAATTAAGAAAAGATTACCACAAATCACTGTGGTATCTATCAACCTAAAATTGCCACCTTGGTTTAGTAAGAAATAGACCATATTTGGAAGCACCTCAACATGCAGATTTTTCTGCAATGCATGTGCAAGATGCTGCTGTGGAGAAGACAGGAAAATCCTCAACACCAAAGGCTACAGGTAGGGTTTGGCTGTATTCTACTGAACCACAAGAACAGCAGTTAGCTTAGGGAGCTTGTTGCAACACTCATGATTTGCTGGTTCGAGGCATCTGCTTGATTTTTCTGGCTATTCAGGATTAAAATTAGGTGAAAGAAAACTGTAAATTTTGGGGGCAAGATAAAGATGCCCAAAAGAGGCAATGTGGACACATTTTATGGTTTGACGATATTTACCATCAGAAGGTGGGCACAATCCACAAAGAACGTTCATTAATGTTGTTTTTCCTGTTCCACTATGTCCAAGTAATGCTGTGATCTGACCCTCATAAATATCAAAGGATAAACCTAATAAAAAATGAAGTAATTGGGGTGGGGAACGATGAAATAATGGCGTTAGAAAGAATACAATGATTTTGCTACTGAATATTATGCAAACACAGCTAGAAAAAGTTTATTCACATTCACCCTTAAGAAATAACCAACACTTAACATTACATGTAATGTTTAAGCAAAATACCTGTATAAATTAATTGTGACAAATTGTTTAAAATCTAAACCGTTACCTTTCAGTGCCTCTACAGTTTCATCCTTTTTAACAAAAGATTTCTGAACACCATTGATTCTGAAAGAAGACAAGGTAAATTTATTAGCGAACACAAAATTTCAGTAGAATTTCTTTAGCAAGGTACAAAATCCATCTTTGCTTTAAACAGAGAGCTGATCTGTATGTTCAAGCGAAATACAACCTACCCTGGGAATTTATTTATTCATTGATAGCCCACATTTCTCACTGAGATCCACAGAGGATTGCAAAATGTAAAAAACAATTCAATCAGACACTATAAGACAACCAACCAACAGTGCACAGGAATAGGCATGCTTGAACAACTGCTAGTTGGCTCACTTCCTGTTCCCCAGTGTGATCAGGAAGCCAATTAATTGACAGGCTGTTTGCATCCTATTTCTGTGTTGCCAGTTCTGGGTTGGGAAATACCTGGAAATTTTGTGGGTGGAGTCTGAAGAGGGCAGGCTTTGAGCAAGGGAGGAATTTCAGTGAAGTATAATGCCACAGAGCTCACCATTCAAAGCAGTCATTTCTCCAGGTGAACTGATACCTGTTGCCAGTAGATCAGATGCAATAATAATAAGAAGAGTTGGTCTTATACCCCGCCCTTCACTACCCAAAGAAGTCTTGGAGTGGCTTACAATAGGGATGCCAGTCCCCAGCTGGCCCCTGGGTAAGCCCCGTCCCCAACAATGGCCACCGGTGGCCACCCTTCTCCCTCCCTCCCTGCGAGATTTAAGGGCCCTCCAGCTGATTGGCAGGCGCATGTGGCCAGCCAACCAGCTGGAGTGACCTTTAACTTTTAAAGGAGGGGAAGGAGAGGTGGCTGCTGGCCACATGCCTGAACTCCAAGTGGTGAATTCACCACTTGGGATTCAGGCGCACAGGCCCTTGCTCCTCAAAAAGCATTTAAAGGATCCCTTTAAATGCTTTTTAAGAGTGGGGGCTGCACAAGACTGAATTGCTGCTTGGCCAATTCAAAAAAGCATGATATGCTCCAAAAGCATATGCATCTTAACACATATGCTTCCTCCACATCACCACTATCCACACACTCTGTCTACAAGCCTGGCTTCATCCCATGGGAAATAGCTCATCAACTTGCTACTGTTTTCAGACATGTGTATGAGGTAAATGGGGCTGAGAGAGCTCTGAGAGAGCTGTGACTGACCCAAGGTCATGCAAAAGGCTTCTTGTGGTGGAGTGGGGAATCAAACCTGGTTCTCCAGATTAGAGTCCTGCCGCTCTTAACCACTACACCAAACTGGCTCTCAGGAGATCTCTGGCCACCATCTACAGATTGGCTGCCCTATGCATGCAGTCATCAGAAGCTGATTCCCAGCTGCTGAGGGACCAGCTGGAGGCTAGCTTTTGATCTCTTGCTGAAGAAATTGCAGACACTTCAGAAAGCCAGATTTAGTTTCCCATAGGACATACTGGGTCTGAAATTCCCAAACTCAGTAAGTTATCCCAAAACAGATTACCAAAACAAACATAACCTTCCAAAAATTCTGAAATGAAATTAGCACTTCTTTTTAAATGCACACCTCTAGTGGAAAATAGTACAATAAAAGCAAGATTATACATACAATAAACATTTAAATGAACTATAATTCTATTCCATAATAAAAGCACCCTTCTGGACTGTTCTGTTATATTGCAATTCTTGTCCCTTTATAAAAATCCTAAACATTTCTGTTTTGCACATTCTGCAAAATCATGGAAGTGATATCCTAAAAATTATAGGTGGGAGATCACACGTGTGAAGCATTCCCCATATCAATAACTCTCTGGTAAAGAAAACCAATTACTTTACACTTTACATTGTCTGACCTCTTATGAAATGTGTCGAGGAACATGTGCAGTATTAATGCAGTTACATAATACACCGTGGCACTACTATAAGAAGCATGTACTTCAGTTTTATACATACATACTCGTAAGGTCTATTTCCCAGTAAAGGTGAACAGATGGCTTTAGTGGGGCATAAATGGTATATTTCTAAATCACAATATTGTTCATTACAGTTCAAGTCAAGTGCTTGTCATTAATTAAAATCTAGCTAAACAGCACCCCCATGTGGGTTGGACAGAATATACATAACTTCCCTTTGATATTCTGAAAACAGACGTTGCAAGCATTAGTCCAAAGCGAAATCTCAAAATAAATAGCCTTATAGTAGGATTAACCAAAATAACACAAAATAGGGCAAATTTTCCCATTCCCCAGAACATTTCTTCAGGCTGGATTTTAAAAGGTGGGGAGACATTTCAGCCTATAAGCATCCTGTATGAAATGCTGAGTAAGGAAGCATATTTAGCATGGTACCTGTGTCAGGTTATACCATTGACCTTCTAGAATAAAGAAGCATTGAGTTTGGTCCTAGCAAAAGATATTACATGGCTTTTGTTTCCCAGTGGTACAAGTCGTGTTCACACATACAGAACTACATATTATTATAATGTTTGAGAAAATCGGGTTTCATTTTTTTAGCTACAAATTCCACTAGCTTGCCCTTTGAAAGACCTCCTGGCTTTGAGACATGAGAATGTCATTTTCTGCTTCATCCTTCTATACAATAGTTACTATCCAACAGAGGTTCATGTACCAAGAGGCTTTCTTATTTTCTCTCTCTCTTTGCTGTCAAGTCACAGCTGATTTATAGCAACCCCATGGGGTTTTCAAAGCAAGGGACATTCAGAGGTGGTTTGCCATTGCTTGCCTCTGCGTAGCAATCCGGAACTTGCTCAATGATCTGCCATCCAAATACTAACCATGTTGCGGCGCATTTTTGGGCCCTGCCCCCTTAATTAAAAGACCCCCCCCACAAATAGCCATGCCAGAAATGGGGGGGGGGGTATTTTTTGTATTTTTAAATGTGTGTGTGTAGAAACCTTATTTTTGAGGAGAGACCCCCGCAGGCAGCAGCACTGTGGCTTGCTCTCGGGCTTCTCTCTCCATCCCACTGTGGAATTATTGGGGGGCATCATGGGACCTGGGAACAGATAGCTCAGAAGGCATTTAAATGCCTTTAAAGTTTCCTTCCACAGGGCAAGAAAGCTTAGAAGGGCACTCAAGAGTGGCACCTTCATCTCTAATAATCCCCTTTTATGCT